AAGATTCTTCCTTCTCTGGGGAGGAGCCAGATAGGATGGCGTATCATCACACCATCATGAGACATGTGCTCAAAGCCTTTCTGGCTTGGTAGGACCCTCCAGAGCTTGACCTCACACCATGAGGCATCAGAGGAGGATGTTAATGGAGGAACGGGTCACACTAGTCATCTAATTGACCACCTGGCAGAGGTCAAGCTCAAGAACGTCCATTTTCAATTATGGCACCAAAGTACTGCAAAATCCAATACTTTCACAAAAACAGTTTTCTTAAGCTAGGCACAATTTTTTTTTAACTTTGTGATTAGATGAATCTGTCATAATGGCTAAGACACAGTCTTCCCCTATTCTTAGACTTGCAAAGTCTTCTAACCTTCTGGAGGACCAACATGACTTCCACAAATGCTTTATTTTTTGCTTTTAATAATCGAGATGTAGGTTCACTATGCAAATTTGTTTAGAGGTATATCATGATGATTTAAAGTCATGGATATTATGATACCCATTTTACAGATGGAGTCTTTGGCTCAGAGAGGTGAATTGATTTCCTTTTTGTTATACAATCAGTGAATGTTTGAGATTGGACCGAGAAACACTGGTCTCTTTGGACTCCAAGTCCAAAGACTTTTCTCATCCACCATTTTGAGAATGAGTTCTGTTTTGGGCATGTTGAGATTGAGTAGAAACATGCAGGTACTGATTGATGACCAGCCAGCAGTTTGATTCACAGGATTGGATTTTAGGAGGCGGACAGAGAGACAGACAGAGACAGCAATTCCTAACCATTTCCTAACCATGTCCACTTGTCTCCCGTGTCTGGGCCTTTCCCCAGATTGTCCTCTGTTCCTGGAATGCATTTCCTCCTCAGTTCTATAAATAAATGAATGGAAAAAAAAGCATTTATTAAGGGCTTATTAGATGCAAAACCCGATGCTAAGTGCTAGGGACACAAGGAGAAAAGCAAAGATGGTCCTTGCTAGGGACATGTGCTCTGACATCTTATTAAAGGACACACTTGACATAGTAACTCCTGATTAGTCCTTGGTCCCCATGGTTGGGGTTGGGAAGATGGTGGGAGACTGAGCCAGGAAGAACTGCCCACCCTGTGACCTTTAAGGAAAGCAGTCAAGCGACTAAAGACTAAATCAAGTCAGAGTGTTCTTGGCACACCAGCTTACTCTCGGCCATATCTCCCTTGGGAGGGAGTGTGCCCGTCTCAGCAGCTGCCTTCACACCACAGCAGGGGCGGCAAACAAGCAACACATTGTTAGAAAAGTGTCCACGCACAATAGCAGCATTGTATGCATACGCACACTGGGTCTCCAGGTTAGCCACTCACAGCTTTTTCTGCCACCTACACATACGCGCGCGCACACACACACATACGCGCGCGCACACACACACACACACACACACACACACAATCTCAGAAGGAGACAGACAGGCAAATTAAGTCATCAAAAAGAAAAAAGGTATTGCAGCCTGGATTGTGTGATGCTCAGTCTAGCTTAGCCCCTTCCTTTCGCAGGCAGGCTGGTCTGGTCGTCACCAGCCAACCTTCCCCTGCACGTTCTCTTCCACCACCCCTGTGTCTCCCAGCTGAATTCTGTTCTGGCTCATGGGAAGGTCAACTGTGGTTCACATCAGGGCCAAGATCATGTCCTCTTCATACCAGGGTACTAAGGCTGGCACACACACACACACACACACACACACACACACACACACACACACAC